GCATTTTTTTCAAAACTATTTTTCCAAGGCTATTTCTATGAGACTAGGTCATATTTGGCCAACATGACATGGTGCTGCATATGCAAATTTACTTTCTAAATTTAAGCAGGGTTCTTGTGCTTGATTCTTGCACAGCTTTCTTGAGTTGGTTTAACTTCACTTTCTCCAACTTCATACCTGACTGGCAATAAAAACAAACAAAACTTCTACATTGTTGCCCTGTGATTTGATTACATCTAATATGGAGCCCATTTGGTGAGTTAGGCATGGATGAAAATTACTTGGAAGAGTGGTGTGAACTTTTCATGAGCAAATGGCTACATAATGAAATCTCAAGAGGAGGAAGTTATTGCCTATTCTGCGACTTTCTCCGTAAAGACTCTAACTTTGAAGAAACAAACAACAACAAAAAAAAAAAAACAACCCTTCTTCTTGTTGTTAGTGTTCAACTCAACTCACTGTCATCAAGTTGGAACCAACTCACAGCAGACCAAACCTTCAGTGGGTTTACAGAGGCTATAAATCATTTAGGATGAGATCACTCATATTTCTTCCAGCAGGGCAGCTAGCAAATTCAAACCACCTGTCTTTGAGTTGCAGCATAAAGTCTTATGCCTTTAGACTCCCAGAGCTCTGTCTTGTCCTGTTGGGCATGGTAAAGTCAACTGCAACTCACAGTCACCCTATGAACAGAAGCAGACTGCCCAGCAACTGGTGTGTTCAAACCACCAGAAAGCCAAGGCCTTTGGGTTAACAACAGAACTATCTATAAATTATGCCTCTAGGGCTCTCTCTGATACACAAATTGAAACTGTACATTTCTTAAAGGAAAAAAAATCTAAATAGTCCACATTACCTATGATGCTTCCATACAAGTACATCTTTTGATTCTTTTTTTAAAAAAAAAACTTTTTCTCTCTCAATCAATAAAACTCCCAAATATTCATCAACAGATGGGTAGATAAGCAAATTATACTGTGACTGTACAATTAAAAAAAGGCTATTTGATATATATAGCACATGATGGATCTCAAAATCATGCTTAATGAAAGAAACCAGATTTTTTAGAAAGGGTATTTTTTTATTCTATTTTTAGAACACTTTAGAAAGTGCAAACTAATGGAAAGCAGATCTGTTAGGGATGGAGGAGGATGAAGGAAGAAAGGGCCTGAGGAAGCTTCTGGAGTGATGGGCGTGCTCAGTGTCTTGATTATGGGAGTAGTGTGTGGGTATACACACTTGTCAAAAGTTACAAAATTATACAACTTAAACAGGCACAAGTTATTGTATATCAATTCTATCTTAACTAAAAGTGTAAAAAATTATATAAAGAGGAGAGAAGCAAGGGGGACATCTCTCCAAGAGCTTACATTCAGTGATGTTTTAAAAGTGGTTATCAAAGAAAAGGAATATTCAATCTGTTCAATATGTGCAAAATATCTTTCCAGAGTGACATTTTCCTGAAATGTCATTTTCTAGGAAGATAGGAATTGTATTTTTGAAAGGAGCAGCCAGGTTGCAAGCAGATGATTAATTATCATGGAAAATCATTGATGTATCATTGCAATTTCACAGTATTTCTTGCAGTTAAAATAAAGCTCCCTCCTATCTCTCCTAAAAGTATTGTGAGGCTTTAATTGATTTGTGTTGGTAAAAACCCTTGGTTACCATGATGGAAAATAATTGAATTAACTATCAAAAAATAGATGTACAACTTTTGTCATTGTTTTTATATTTGCTTTTTTCCTTTGTAGCAAATTTTGAAAGGTGGCAACAATTCTAACACATTATTGTCAGATACTCTGACCCCAGAACTTGTACATTTGTTGATATAATGTTAAATTTATGGAATCCACAGAGACATTTAAAGACACTCAACTAGCTCTCTCAGCATATTGGATAATTTTGTAAATGCCATTTGCTCACTCTCTAAGGAGTACTGATGATTTACACCGGTGGACAAGAAACATAAATTCTAGACTCACATGTACATTTTCTTTACATGAGGGTGGATAATTTTTGTCTTCTTTTGAGCAGAAACACTCAATATTAACTTGGAGTCACTGAAAACAAAGTAAACACTGGAAATGGCAATATTGATCAGGAGGATGATGTAAACACACATACAAACTCTCGCTGTTGTCAAATCAGAACTGCCTCATAGCTGATTCTCCAGTGGGTTTTCAGAGGCTGTTCACAGCACAAGAAGAAAGCCGCTAGCAGCTCTCTTGTAGCAGCTGGTTGATTCAAACAACCTGCCCTTCTGGCTTATAGCACAACCCTTTACCCAGTAGCTAGGCCACCAGAGCCCCCTAAACACATATATGGGCAGAAGAAACCAGAATTTGCTTCTTTGGAAGGTACTTGAGAGCACAGGTGCTATCTGTGTATCATTTAAGAGCAACTCCTAATAATTGTTCTTAAGTATCAGTCAATAGCAATATGCATATTAAGTCTTCCACTGTTAGACACTATCATTCATAATTGCAGAATTCTGTGAATAAGTCAACATGCACTAGATGGGTTAGGAGAGTATATTCATTCACTGCTTATAAAATAGGGATAAAGAGGATGCCCCTGTGTTATCGCTATCCCAACCAATTACAATCACATATAGTCAGAGAAAAGTCTCCCAAGAAAGTGGCTGCCGTAATGGTTTTCACACTTTGGTGAGAATTGCGAGGCAAGAACAGCTATCTGTAATACTTTATGGTCCCCTGAAGAAGTTCTGTGATGTATAAGGCTATAAACATACAGCTTAACACAGAAGTCACTATTTGGTGTGACCATTTAAATGTAAGTATACATTAAGTTATATTTTTAAAATTCATTTTAATGAAAGTTTACAGAGACTCTGGATTTCCATTCATTCATTGTTGCACTTTTCTCCCTCCCCACCTTCCCCCCCAATTCGCTCTCCTCTTTGAAAAGTAAAAGTTAAATTTAATAAGCATCAAAGCTAAGTCCTTCAGTAACACTAATGACCTTTCAAGTGTTCGTGAGCTCTCACTGCCATCACGTTAGAACTAATTCATCGCTGACCCTTCATTGTGTGTCTGAGGTTAAATCACAGAGAAGACACAGGCACTTTCTCCCTCAGAGACACTGGTGGATTTGAACCACCAAGAGGAATGGAGTTTGACTTAGCACAACTCTCTACAGACCGACCACACCACCAGAGCTCTCTCACAAGCGGCTAGTGGCTTCTGTATTCGATTACATAAACAGAGAGCATCCCATCATTGCAGAAATACCTAGTTGACTGCGTTGAGCCAGAACAAAGCAGGAGCTAGGATATATGAAGACACTCTCAAGTAGGAATTTGAGAACAACGGTGCAACTTGATTGCAAAGTGACTGTGTTATTCAACTCCCAAAGAAAAGAGAGTTTCCTTCACACTTTCCTATGTGGGATTTTAGTAAACAAACTGGAGTTTAAGGATTCCTTAAGCCTGGGTGCCTTCTGGGACCTCAAAACCAAAATGCATTTCCCACAAAATATTAAATCAAGACAAATTAAGACAGTGCACTTAATGTGAAATAAAGTTCATATACTCCTGTTTAAACACAGATTAGAATTTCTGTCAGAACAATGCCAGTGAAAAGTTGACATTCTAATTAATACAATTTACATTATAAAGCACTGAATAGCTTTATCTTGCTACTATGAAATGCCCTCTTAAAAAAAAAAAATCAAGACTCTACTCAACAGGGAATTCAGTTCCAAGGGCAGTATTTAAAAATCCATGTACAAGAGAGGTGGTTGGGGTCACTGGCATTTTTACACACCATCAACTCAGGTCTCTAAAAAGGGAACCAATACATTCCTGCACCACAAAGTTGGGCCATTTGTCATTGTCCACAAGGATATTTACATGCAGCAACAGGATTTTCAGGCAGTTTTTTATTGCAATGATCTAAAATAACACCACAAACCCCAAAGCCATGTTCTTTCTCTCCCTCTCTCTTTCTCTCCCTCCCTCCACCTCTGTCTCTCTCTATGTCTCTGTTTCTTTCTCACCCCACACTCCACACAGACTCTCCTACTTAACATCACAGAACCCAGGTGTGGAACTCCGTGAGCTACACTACACGTTGGGCTTCCACACACTGTCTACTCGATCCAAATTCTGTGTGAGAGGGACAGAAAAGCAACCTCACAGCTGGCTACCCAAGGATTCACGTTCATTGCCTTTGTCAATTTTATGCTATCGGTGAAAGGAATAAAGATGAGATTCTTAAAGCTTGAATTTTCATTCCCTATGACAATGTGCTTTTTCTTCATGCTTTATCACCCTCCACTACTAGGTTTCCACCCCTTCATAATTGATATCGGCCATTTGAAGCATTCAGTAAAAACCTCATGAGGTTCATCAAATGTCCCCCAGTCTATAATTCTTGCTTCTAACATATTCAGAAGCATATTCACCCAAGTGTTTGCCACTTCCCCTCCACGGTTTCCCTGAGCTCAGGGAGCTAGTGTAATGACAGTTGTATTAATTATATTCTGAAAAACCTACATAGCAGCAAAAATGATGGAGATCATAGTTTTAAATATTTTATTAAAATAACCCAGTGTAGAACAGATGAAGTAGACCCTCTTGATAATGAGAGGTTCATTAATTTTACAAGAATTCTAAAAAGCTTAGAATGGTCATCAAAAATGATGTCTCCCCTTTATTTATTTCTTTCCCATCCTTGCTCAAAAAGAGCAAAGATTCCAGTAATTTCCAAGAATGTTTCTTAAAAATAAGTGTTTACTTTTCTAGGTTACAAAAAGATCCTTTAGAAAATTAGTTTGAAATACAGGGACTGTGACTTGCCTAGTATTTAATTGAAATGCCTATAAAATGAAAGCATCTGCCGGTTGCCCCACAAAAGCTTAAATTCATTAACATATAGTGACCTCTGCTAGATAAAATTTATGTTCTCTATAAACAAACAAGCAGCACGGTAAAACCCTCCAGTTACTGATAGTAAGAACAGCTCAATCTTGCTTACCAGGTGCGTCTCCAGGTACAGTTTAAGGCTGTCTGTCTCTGCTTTGGGTGGAGTCCAATTCTCAGTGGTCTCCATGGCTTCGTTTAGCCACTGAATGAATTCATCCAGCTTGTTCACAAACCCCTTGTGAGAAGAAAGAAAGGGGAGAGAGAAAAAGAGAACAAAAAAGCAATGTTAGTTGGTTATATATTTTAAAGGCAGTATTAAAAATTGTAAACCTCACTGATCATGAAATCAGTGCCAGCGTGCTTCCACTGGAGCCCTGAGGACAGTGTGCAACATGTTAGACTGCTAACCAAAAGGTCAGCAGTTCTAATCCACTAGTCATTGTGTTGGACAAAGATGGGCATTCTTCTCCCATAAAGACTTATCACCCTAGCTCTTTGGATCCCAACTGACTAGATGGCAGAGGGAGGATCTTCTCATCCTAGTTACATCTTTGTTGTACATGTTGGTGTTACTGTGATGCTGCACACTCTTCCACAGTCTTGTCAAATACCATAATGGTTACCCATTATAGACAATGTGTGGATGAGCTTCCAGCCTGATTTATCCTGGGAAGCAGGAGTCGCATCCACTTCTTAAACTAGATTCTTCCGGAAATCCTACAAACTCACTTAACTCTCTAAATGTACAGAAATTATGTTAGTTATAGAGCAGAGTTCATGTCTTTTGTGCAAAGTTTACTCTCAGTTGCATTCTACTTAAAGACACTTAACCACTGCTAAGTGAAAATAGTGCTGCTGTATCTGGAGTAACACTCTTCCACTTTGTACATCACTCTTTGTCAATGTGCTGTATGAAGTAACCTGGGTTGTTGTGATGTTGAACCTTGTGCCATTGGGGTATCAAATACCAGAATGATTTCCCAATGTGGACAGTGTTTGGTGGAGCTTCCAGTTGTAAAACAGATTTTGGTAGCAGGAGTGGCGTCCACTTCCTAAACCACATGCCTCTGGAAACTATGAACTTGTGGAAATGACGAAAGTTATAGAAAGACATTAGGTCTTTTATTCATAGAGTCGCTATGAGTCATGCTTGTCTCAGGGACAATCAACAACAACAACAACAATTCCATCTTTGTTGTAGAAGGAAATTTCCACTACCCCTTACGCCGAACTTCATTATTAAAAAGGAATTTCTTCTGAGTTCCTTATTCCACCCTCTCCCTCCTGACGCAAACATCCCTTTTCTGAGGAATTTGGATTAGATTGCAACATATCCTCGTAAAGGTGACCTCAGAACCGATCTGGTGCCTAGCGAGCAATTCCCCAGTCTTAAATCAGGTAGGTATGCCAGCAGTAGCCATTGGTTTGGGGACAGAAGCATCCCACGAAGTGGAAGAAGTTCTTTATTTAGAAGCCTGTGAACCCACTGTTATCAAGTCAATCCAGCGTATGGACAGGCTGTGGACATGGGCTGCAGAGTAGAACTGCTCCTCTACAGGCTTCTGAGGCTGTAAATCCTGACGGAAGCAGAGCGCTTCAGCAGAGTGGCTGGTCCAACTTGCAACCTTTAGGTTAATATTCTCATTCACTGGAGGAGATTGTCAGGGGAGTCACTGGTAGGTAGATTTCAACTGCCAGAGAGGCGCCACCTCTGCTTTCCCAGTGCAACTCGGTATGAACTAAGCCACTACAGCACGCACTACAGGTGAGCCGACCAATGCTTAACCCACTGTGCCACCAGGATTTGTCTTAGCTAAAGTATGAGTCTTTTTTTTTAAAGTCACTTAACTGTTCTAAAGGGGACTTAGATGAGTTCTGTTGATAGCGCAGTACCTGTGGCCAAGTCTGGGTGCTAAGAAGCAAGGAAGGGGAGAAGAGAGAACAATGATCAAGCTAAACAAATATTCTTCTTGCTAAAAGGCACAAATCACAATCTTATTGTAATTTTTTTAAACGCAGGTAATAAAATTTTATTGACTATTTAAAAGAACACATCTGTAGAAACGGAAAATGCCGAGGCCTGGTGGTGAGGAAAGGGGTGGGCCGGCTCTGGAGAAAGAAAGCTACAAATATAAAGAAATGGGATTCGGCTCCTGCTTCCCATATATAGGTAAACAGCACCACCTGGAGGTCATAAGGCAAAATGGCAAGTTTCCACATTGTTCCTAAAGAGCTGGCGCAAAACTAAAACTCATTGCCATCAAGTCAGAAATGACTCATAGCTGACCCTCCGGGGGGTGGTGGGGGATGTTTGTAAATCGCACGGGAAGGAAATTTCTCATCCATTTCCCATGGAGCAGGTGGTGGATTCGAACATCTTGTCTTTGGGATTGCAGTGAAGCTTCTTATTAGGTCACCAGAGCTTCCATAGAGCACAGGAAAGCCATTTCTCTATTTAATTTAACCCATTCTTCAGATTTGCATTTTGATTCATTGTGATTAATATTTTCCAGTGCTTAACTGAGGATGTTTTGAGGCTGAAGTAAGAATAGGTGAAAATTCATTTTCTTTATCATGCTTCTTGGAAGTTAGTTTTTGCTATTAAGTTTTCTCCTACATAATATTTTACAATTCACAACCCTTTAATGCAGATCCATTGGCTTGCTTGAAAATAATTCATAGAGAAGGCGAGAATGGAGTTTTGGAGGTTGGTAAAGTAAGTGGTAGACACACAGCTCTCAGAAGCACAATCTTGTCTCTAAAGGGGAGAGAGCAGAGATGGCAGGTAAGGAGGCCCACAGAGGCCGCGCAGATTATCTGCCCGCCACTCCCCGCTGCACTAGTGCGATTTCAACCCCTGTGCAGCTAATGCTATCACTAGATACAGTGATGCATCCTATTTTTCCAACGTTAACAGATGCTACCAAGAGTTTTCCCCGCTGAGAACAACCATGCCAAGCTGAGACTCAGAAGACTCCCCCAGAGACACAACACAACTATCTTTGAACCAGCAGAATAAATTTTACATTTAATATCTATTTTGAAAGGGATCTCTAGTGGCCCAGTCCAAAGGGAGTTACACTGTTAACCCAAAGGTAATGCTTCTCTGCCTGTTCAAATCTACCAGATGCTCTGGGGGTGAAAAAGGGGCAATCTCCTCCAGGGCAATTTAGAGCCTCTGGAAACCCAGGTGGGTCAGCTGTGAGTCATTTCCAACTCAACAGCAATAAATGTGAATTGATTTGATCTATTTTGAAGGTCTGGCCTGTGAGTCAGAGGGTTTTCAGTGGAGAATTCTGGTGGTCTCGCAGTAAGAATGCAATCTCAAGGGCAAGTAGGTCAAATCCACCAGCTGCTCCTTGGTAGAAGGGAGGTTCTGTTTCATGTCGGTTGCAGCTCAGCAGCATACAAGAACAACAGCAAACAACAGAACGTTGAGTAGCTCTCCAGGCTTTGTTAGTCTGCATTGCGACACACAAGCCTCTACTGACAAAGGGTTGGTGATTTGTGAACTTCGTTGGAAGGGAATCAAATCTCTGGGTAATACAATTAAAGCCCTTGATGGCTAATGTAAAGTGTAGAGGTTTGAGTCAACCTAGCAGAGCCTTAGGAAAAGGCTTTGTGATCTAGCTGTAAAATGTCACCCACTGAAGAGTTGGGGACACAGATCTACTCTGACATATGCGTGGTCTACAAGAGCAGGATCAATCTGATGGCAACTGATTTTGTTCCCTCGTTTGATCAGAAACTGAAGGCAGGGCTAGTGACGTCACTGAAGCTCCCTGTGATCCTGACTCAGAAAGCTTCCACATGAGGTGAAACGGTCCAATGGGGAAAATGTCAGGAGTACTCATTGTGGATCCTCTCACCAAACGCCTCATTTGATGAACACCCAAATCCTCCAGTTCTCCAATTATTACTCATTGTTTTAAATGCTAGGGGCCCTTGGAAAAGGACATCATGCTTGGAGGGTCAGCAAAAGAGAGGAAGATCCTCAGGGAGGTAGACACAGTGATTAAATAACGGGCCATAGTAGATGGGATATAGAGATGGTGAGGGTGACACAGAACAGGGCAAAGTGCAGATTTGCTGCTCACTTGAGTTGTTCTTGATTTCATGGCACCTAAGAGTAACAACAATGGAAGTTGATCGGAAAAAACACAGTTGTTTGGCTGGACGCTTTGGTGGCATAGTTTGTAGGAAACTGGGCTGCTTAACCCAAAGATGGCACCTCTCTGGTGCTTCAAATTCACCATCAGCTCCACAGAGGAAAAAGAGAAACAATCTCCCCTGTGTGGTTGACAGCTTCAGAAAACCACTGGAGGGTCAGTTATGAGTGTGTTTTGAATCAACAGTAATGAGTTTTGCATTTTGGTTATTAAGTTTCTGGGAAGACCTATTTAAGAGGAACCTGGATGGCTCAATGGTTAAGTCCCTGACTGTTATTCAAAAGGTTGGCAGTTTAAACCTGCCTAAAGCTTGGTAAAGACCTGATGATCTATTGCATCCTAGGAACCTCTTAGGAGCAATTCTACTCTCTCACATAGATGTAGGTCCTAGTGGTAAGAAACAGTGCTACAATCCCGAAGACACATGGTTCGAATCCATCAGCTGCTCCTCGGGAGAAGGACAGGCAATCTCCTCCCATGCAATTAACTGCCTCTGAAAACCTGCCAGAAGGTCAGCTGTGAATCAGTACACAACAACAACAACAATATTAAGACAACCTGGAAAAAGCAGTGGGTCCGTGAACTGTCAACAAAAGGAATTGACACGGTGACTTTAACAACAGCCTTGAGCATGGCGAAGATCCCAAGGATGGTACAGGAGAGGGCAAGGTTTCAGTCTCTTATTCATAGGGTTGCTGTGACTTAACGTTTCTCTCCCACTCTCAGTTCCTCAGTCTGTGTATTCTCACCAGAGTCCTGTGGGAAGTGGACACTATTCTGGGCACTGATGCTCTTAGACCAACTCAGACCAACATTATACACAGACCCATGCAGATGTGTGGAAGAAATCATATTAAGATGCTCTTTTGTTTTTTTAATGCTTAAATAACAGGTTAATTCAAAATTATGAAGAGTAGATGCAACCTTCATTTTGAAAAGAAAATAAATATGCCATCATGGCTCCAGTGGATTGATTCAGTCACTGGGGTAATGGGGATAAGTGAGTTGGAGACAATAAGATTGGCACGGGATAGAGCAGAGTTTAGGGCTATTGTACATAGGGTCG